GATTATCCAGTGCCATTTACCTGGTATGGGCCAGGTGCCCCCAAGCCTGACCCCTGGACGAGTGGGGAGGACAATGGATAGCCCCAAATGCGCCCCCAGCCCAGGGCCAGGGCCACGAAAGTCTGGAATGCCTGCTCTGAGGTCCCCCCCCCAGATCGCTGCTATAAGCTAATTTTCACGGAGGCAGCTGCAAGGCCTGTTGGGATACTGGAAAGAACCGGAGCTTATCTCACTGGCAGTGCAGCGCTGGGAACAGAACAGGTGCTCAATTTATATTTATAAAACATTTTAGGGCTGGGCCCAAGCGGTCCCACAAAGGATTGTTCCAGACTAGAGGGAAAGTTGTGAGGGGGAAGGGGGAGGATCGGTGATGACTTAGGGGCTCTCCCTGATTGCTCACAGGACCTGATCAAGTCTAGCTCCAGAAGTGTGGGCCTCTGGCCTGCCAGACGCCTCTGCCTGGGGGTCCAGCAGAAATAAACAGAGCTCCGTGCCCCCCTAACCTACCCTCCTTGTTCAGTAGCCTGTATGTAGAGAGGAGGGAGGCACCGGCATCAAAAGGCCTGCCCTCCCACCTCCCTCCACTCCTCGCACCAAGGAGTCACCACCTGCTAAAACCTTTCTTCTGCTCCACCATCACCGTTCCACTCCTGGACCAAGCAGCAGCCTCCACACTAGCCTCCCTGCCTTACTCCGGTTAATCCATTTTCCCACAGCAGCCTGTGGTGTTTACAAATGCAATCCGATCAATTAACATCTTATGTTAATAGACTGAAGGTTTATAGGGTATCGGTCTGTCAGCCAAGCCTGCGCTTCACATCCACTGCTTCTTGCCAGGCCCCCTCTTTCCTCAATCTACTCCACTGCTCTTACACCGGGCGGACCTCTCCAGTCCTTTCTCTCCCCATGCCTCACCACCACACATGGCCAGAATGAGCTGCCCCCACCCCTGCCACCAGCCACACGTGGCTCTCTAACCTTCTTGTCTTTGCACCTGCAATTTCCTTGTCCCTGCGCACACTTCCCCTCACCAACTCAATGACTCTTAGCCATCCTTGAAGACTCAGCTCAGGTATCACCTCCTCCACAACCCCTTCCTGACTCCCTCCAACACATAGCCCCCTCTTTATCGCAATACGCTATAATCGCTAGTTTCCTGGTCAGTCTCTCCCAGGAGACTGCTCCTGCCAGGAGCATACACTCAGCCTGGCACAGTGGGGTTCAATAACCCCTTGTAGCCGCCTGTGTGAATGAATGAATCACAGAGCAGACAGTGTAAGCAGGAGGCCAGAGCGTGCCAGCAGCTGAATAAGGCGGTCGGCCAGCCATTCATTCTCTCATTCATCTGGAAGCCCCCTTATCCGCTTCACTCACTAGGGTCGAGGCGCGCGGGGCCCCTGGCAATACTGGGCCCAGGAGGCGGGGAACGGGAAGGGGCGGGACTCGGGCGGCTTCTCCGGAACCCAGAGACAGAGTATGGCCAAAGGGCGTGCTGGGTTCCTGGGTCTCGAGACCCCAGCCTCTCTTCCCCGCCCTCGTGTTACCCACAAGCAATCTAAGTCTTCGCCAGGCCGAGCCCTGGCACCATAGGGTCCTGGGACCCCGCACAGACCGGGCCAAGCCGACCCCCGACCCTGGCGATCCCGGGGTCGGCGACCTCCGCTTCCCGCACGGTCGCGGAGGCCTCCCGTAGCCATAATGCTTCTGCCCGCCCCGCGCCCGCGCCGGCGCCCAGCGTACTCACCGGCTCGGCTCTTTCGGCGTGCGGGCGGGGGCCAAGCTGGGCGGCGTGGCCGGCTCCGGAGTCCGCGGTCCCGGCACGTTCTCCCCGCCCAGGGCCCGCCCGGGGCCGGGCCGCTGCCTGTCGTCATCCCTGGCAAGGCCCAGACACGGGCTCGCGCGCGCGCGCACACACAGCCTGCTGCCCAGCACAGCCCGGGCCGGCCCGCCCTGGTCCTGACTCAGTCCTAGTCCGCGGAGACTCAGTGCCGCGCACGCCGCAAGCGGCTCCGAGAACGAGGCGCGGCACAGTCATGAACACACGCACGCAGGCCTGAACCTTCCTCCAGCAAAGATCCTGCCCCCTTGGCTGCAGTACTGGGTGGCTGGGTGCGTCTGATGGTGTTCTCCCTCACCATCCTAGGGCCCCTGTGCATCCCCAGAGCAAACCCGACCCCTCCTCTCCATGCCAGGCCCGGTCGGTTCTTTTTGTGACTGCCTCTCTCCCTTCACCCTCCGTTCCGCTCAAGCTACTGCTCTGAGCTGGCCAAAGGAGGCACTGACTGAGCCTGCACTGTGTGCCTGGAGCTTTACATGCACAAGTCCTTTGACCTCAGAGCAGCCCTGTCACCTACCTGTTGCTATGCCCAGTTCATAGCCCAGCCCACTGAGGGCCAGGGAGCAAAAGGAGAAGGAATTCAAACCGAGATCTCCACTTTGAAAAACCCTGCTCCTAGTGATGGTTAATAGTGTGGCTTTTCAAACCTTACCCCTTCTTTCCATATACTGCTCAACTCTTTCCCAATGGGTTTGCTAGAAAGAAGGCTGGGGGTCCTGGAAATATACTGCCACCCTTCCTCCCAGCCCAGACCACCCCAGCTTACAAGTTTGCAGGGCCTGTGGGGATGAACCACGCGGATGATCTCCCCGGTGGGGATCAGCTCCACTTGCAGCGCCATTCCGCCTGTGGATAGCCAGCGTTGCTGAGCACTGGGGCCTCTGAGTGAAGGCCTGCCCGCCTGCCCACTGGCTATGGCTGCTCCTGGAGCCAGGAATCTGGTCTTATGCTGGGATGGCCACTTGGTTCAGCTTCAACTTCAGCCCCAGGGGATGTGTCTGGTCCAGCGCCTCAGGACACAGCTGGAGCAGCCCAGGTCTGATTGGGAGGCCTCTTGGCCCAGAGGGTTGGGGCAGGAAGAGGAGGGGCTGAGTGATGGAGGAAATGCCTGTTGTCCCAGGTAACCAGAGCAACTGATACAGCCACCACGGGGTACCCTGGGCTCTAGGTCAAAGTGTAGGAGGCTTTCCCCAGTAACTCCCTGGCTGGGCCTCTCCCCCTGCCCACTCACTGGTGTCAGCTGGAGAGCACAGTGACCACTCCCCAAACCAGAATGCACATCCTGTCCTAAGCCAAGAGGATCCATCAGTAGGCACTGCCGCTCCCGCATGCGCTGTCCCCTTCCCCCCACATCGCCTGCCTCCCATGGCGGCATGTGAGCCCCTTGAGTTTGATAGGCCAGGGCTGCGGGGGACTGTCCATGTGGGGCAGAGGCAGTTAACTGGCTGGAAAGGCAGGAGGGCACTGTGAGAAGCCCCCTGTACCAACCGCCTTTAGAGACAAACGCTTGGGAGGTTGGTCCCTGTGTTCCCTGGTTGTGAGCAGCCTTAGTCCTGCTGGATCCTTACTTTTTCATTAGCACCCTCAGGTGTCCCCCACCCTGAATGTTCTTGTTTTTCTATGTATTGTTGCCAAATCACAGCTGACATTTTCCTGGCCTGGGACTGAGCCCTTGAGTCTCCAGCCATTCCTTACAGGAAGTGAGAAGGGAGAAGTGGATGGGGGTAGGTGGGAGGGGTGAAGTCCAGCGTTGGGCAGTCGCCTTCCCCAGGCATATTCTCTTCCCTCCTCGTAGTTTCCCCCGCCCCGGAAAGACCAGCAAAGCTTCCTTCCTTCCTCCAGGAAGCAGCACATCTATCCAGGGCAGGCTCATCCCCGGCAGCCACACAATGGCCCTTATCAGCCATGGAGCCAGGCACAGAGACCCAGCACACACGAAGTCTCACATATTTCCTGTTTCCACCCAGAGGGTCAGGGCTGGGCCCAGAGTGGCCATATCCTGACTGGGGCCAAGAGGAGGGAAAGCACTCCCCCTTCCCCTTCCCGCCTCTCAGTCCCTGTTGGTCTCACCCCTGCCAGGCTAGGAGGAGCCCTGCAACAAGAGGCGGGTACAGGGGCCAGTGCCGACTTAAGGGAGAAGGGGAGAGGTGAGCATGTGGAGGACAAGCCTGCTCCATGGGAGAAACGGGGCACCCCTGGACTCAAGAGCCCTGGAGATCCAGCCCCAGGGCTGCATTCATCAGAATGAGGAGGTTCATCCTGATTAGTTCATTCTGGCTGGTGTGGGTCAGTGGTTTGAGCTTCCCAACCTTTTCACCAGCCTGTGAACCTAAAAGGTTTCCGGTTCGGTTCCCAGGCAGGGCACATGCCTGGGTTGCAGGCCAGGTCCCTGGTTGGGGGTGTACAAGAGGTAATGAATCCAGGTAATGAGTCAATGTTTCGCTCCTAAAAAAAAATGGAGGTAGGTACAGTGTTGTTCTTTTGTGTAACTTCTCTTACAACTATGTTGTGAACAGGTGTATTATTTGTATTTTACGGACAACTGAGACTATGCGCGTAGAGATGGAACTGGGTCAAACTCAGGTCTTGACCCATCCCTGCTCTGGTCCTGCATACTTCTGCTCAGCGGTCTGACAAATGCAGGGTGCTGTGTGGCAGCACCCATGATGGTTGTGCACAGGAGGGAAGGGAGTGGGCAAGCACAAGAGTTTGAGGCTCCTCAGGGGTGTATGCATGTTGGGGGCAGGGAAAGGTTTCCATGGGAACTTCTGGGTAGGGGGGATCTGGGGCAGAAAGACAAGATGGTGATTTTGGAAAGCTTAACTCAGGACCAAAGCTCAAGACTAAGGTGTGAGGGAGTGGCCGGCGAGGAGCCAGTGAGAACAGAGTGAGCACCTTTGCTGAGTTATCAGTTCTGGGAAACCCATTCTACTTAGCAGCAGAGTGAATTAAGTGCCCACTAACACGCCTCAAGTGGGCCAGGGACCCAGAGGGCTGCTACTTCAGACCCTCACCCCAATCTCACCGAGGTCACATGCCATTTGCAGACACAGAAAGTCTAGTCTGGATCTACAGGGCCCTCATCCTGGAGTCTAGCAAAGGCCCCTCTCCAGGTACCCCTTCCCACTGCCATCATGAAGGAGTGGCACACATGAGTGTAAAAGCCATGTTTCTTGTTCTCCCCCCATGTAACAGAGAAAACACAAACAGCCAAGGCCTGCTAGGGGCCAGGGGACAGTTCCTGATGACACACATGGCTCCCAGAGTGAAGTACAGGGTGCAGAGCAGCTGGAGTGTGCCTCAGTCCCAGGTTGTACGACTGGTGTGAGTCACAGAGCAGGCTCCCTGAGGTGTCCTTTCCTGGGAGAAGGGCCATTGAATCAGCAGTGGCTGGAGGCAAGTAGTAGGAGTAGGGACGGCCACGTCCACATAGCACCTGGAGAATGTTCTCTGAAGACCCCAAGGGGCAGATTCTCAAAAACGTCTTCATTCCAGCCTGCCCTGCTTGCCCCCGCTTCAAGGTCCCAGTGAGGTCTAGAGAGAGGGCAGGTTTCTGGCCAATGACCACAGGCAGGCGTAGGGGCAGATGGGCCGGACTGGGCAAAGACTGCCCTGGAGAAGTCTATGGCCGCAGCTCCTCTACCACCTGTCAACCCTTCACAAGATGCCAGGCTGGGGGCATGATCCACCAGCAGTGAACCAGGGTCCAGTCCTCGGCTCAGGTCCTGGAACTTCTTGGGTCACACTCCATGGAGGCAGAGGGGCGCAGGCAGACCACCCCCCCAGCCGCCCACCACCCCCAGATAAGAGCCTGGGTGAAGGGGCCCCTCCATCCTGCCCACCCAGCCATACTGTTTCTGCCAAAGCAAGGATCCCAGACCTTCTTCCCATCCCCCGGGGGACAGGGAATGAGATGCCAAGACTCCTGGAACCTAGCGCTGCCTGCGCCAGCGAGTCTATGGAGCCTGTACAAATGTGAGCATCTCCCCCTCCCCGGCAGCCTGAGGCCCAGGATGGTGCGAGAAGAATGCGGGCCCGTGCCAGATGGGGCATGTGTCTGGCAGGCCTGCTTGGGCACGACTGAAACTGCGTGGGGGGAAAATCAAGGAATGAGATGAAGGCTGGAGGGTCCTTCCCACCTTTGGTGGACTATCCCCAGGTCTTCACTGTTGACAAACCAGCTGGTTTCACTTATATCTCAGCAACAAAACCCTGTGCTTAAGTGGCCAATTCCAGAGACCTGGACGGGAGAGAGCAAGAGTGTGGCCAGGACTCCCCCTGGGAGGTGGAGGATGCTTGCCGGCCCCGGCGCTCCTAGAAGTGCTGAGCAGAGCTGGCTGCCAGCTCCGGCCTCCGCCCTGGATCCCTTCTCACCGAAGCTCACACTTACGGTTGGGATTCACCCCGTGGGTCCTCCTCTGAGGAGACACGAGGCTGGATCTGCGGGGATAAGACAGGCAGTGAGCGGAGGGGGAAGAGCAGGTTTTCCTCCACGTTGTTTTGTCACTGTCATTCCCCAACTGATGCAGCCCCAGGTACACACGTTGGCTCCTAGGCCTGTGGCCTCGGGGAGTGGATGAGGGGTTCAAGCTCAAGTCCTCTGCCCATCTTTCCCCCACCCAGCCACTTTACCTTGAAGGGACTGCTCATCCCCACCACGGAACGTAGACTGTTGCTATAATAACAGAGGAGAAACTGACCCTCGGTCTCAGGGATATCGCTGATGTTGATGTAAACCTGGAGGGAAGGGTGGACAGGAATGGTGTCAGCTCCACAGCCCTGGGTCCCACCCAGCTCTTGCTGACAAGTTAGCCGGCAAGCAGGACCTCCTGCTGGAGATGTGCAATGCCCATCTGAGGAAGGGGGGCAGGTACCTGGTTCGACCCGTCATGGAAGGAGACCTGGTTGTCCCTGACCCAGATATAGGACACGTAGTCATTAATGTGGCGAAGCCCGACCTGTGAGAGGGGGGATTGGGCGGTCAGTGGTCTGAGGACACAGGACCTATGGCGAATCCTAAGGAGAGGGTGGCCACACCCCTAGGTTGGCTATCATACTGTATGCCCACCCATTCCCTGTCAGTCCCTTGGTGAGCTCTTTAGTCTGTGCCCAGCTCTCGTGAGTCCCAGCATGGATAGACCAGAGGGGTGTGGCTGATGGACTCCCCGCCTCACCCATCACATCACCTTGTAGAGTCCAATCCAGTCCCAGGGGCTGCTGGGGAAGTCTGGGGTCAAGGTATAGCTGATCAGCATATCGTCCTCCATGGTCCATGGGCCCTCTGGCATCAGGGTGATCAGTGGGACAGAGACCAATGGGTTCAGCTACACACAGGGATGGGAAAGGGGTTGAAAATCCATAGCATCATTCCCTTCTCTGAGACAAATGTCCTTACTGTGCCCTTCCAACAAGTAAGGGGCAGGGTGGGGAGAGGCACCAGGGTGGTGGGCACAGAATGCTAGGCTGCCCTGAGAAAGTAGCAGACCTTGGCTGGCCAGGTAGAAAGAGAAAAGACCAGGCCGAGGCTGGGTAGCCCAGTTGGTTAGAGAGTCGTCCCAATACACCAAGATTGCAGGTTCGATCCCCAGTCAGGGCACACAAAAGAAGCAACAGTGAAGGCGCACATAAGTAGAACTGCAAATCGACGTTTCTCTCTACAATCAATAAATAAAATAAAAATAAAAAATAAAAAAAAGAGAAAGGACCACAGGCTTGACAGGGATGGCTGGTCCTGGCAGGAAGGGCAGGGCTGAGGGCCAGCTGGGTGACCAGGCAGAGCCCAGTGCGGAGGGGTGAGGGCGGGACTGAATGGGGTGAATTGGTGACAGGTTCCAGGAGCCAGGTAGCTTGTGGCTAAGCCTTCAGGGTTCCTGACCCAAAGTCCCAAATTCAGCTTTTCATGGGAGGGTAAGGACAGATAAAGGCACATAGAAGGAACAAATGTACAAAGACAGTCAAACCAGTATGAGAAGGTAAAGGCTGAGGGCAGCCAGCAGCTCAAAGGTTAACATCGACTTGGTCACTGGATGGCAAACTACAAGCATGGAGGGAGCTCCTTTTGCTACCTGATCCAGACAGGTTCAGGACAAATAAAAGGAAGTCCTACTTCACAGAGCAGGTAATAAGCATAATGGAACTCAGCCCCAGGGGACAGTACCAAGAGGAAATGGAAACCTATTCACAAAGGGCTTGAGCACGTTTTTGGCAGGCAGAGCCATCAACAGCTCCTCCGAAGAGCTGGGATATCTGACCTGGGAGGAAAGGCAATCATGTCCCCCTACAGGTCTCCCCTGGGGGACCTGCTGACATTAGAATCCAGGGCAGGAGGGTTTCGGGATGTGACCCAGTGTGGCTGCTCCTCTCCCAAGTGCTGGGCAGCCTGGAAGTTCACCTCCAAGTCAAAAGTGCCGGTGACAGGCTTATGGTCACTGATGGTGTACATCATGTGGCTGATGTAGCTCCTCAGACACAGGGAGAAGTGGGGGGCTGGCAGCCTGGGGGTGCAGGAGCCACTGTGCAGCTGGCGCTTCAACCTCCACAGGATGCGGTCAGTCCATGCAGGCTTGCGCTTTTTCTCACTGGGGGTGGGCAAAGAGAACGGGGAGAAAAGAAAGCATTGGCAGGTGAGCACTGGGTACCCCCGCTAGCTTGCTGGAGCCCCTGACACTGGGGCCCGTCAGCAGCCACGAGCCCCCGGGCCAGAGCCGGAGCACTAGCATGGACGGCCTGGCAGCAGAAGGCAGGTACGCAACAGAATCCAAAGTGCACTGGCCTTTCTCGGACTCAGCCAAGGATCCTCAGTCCAGTCTACATTTTTATGAATCAAATGGTGGCTCAGAAACATTTCATTTCAAGGCTTTTCTTATTTCTTAAACAAAAGCAGCAGAAGATCAGGGAAGCTGAGGTTTGGATTTCGGAGTCAGACAGATCCTGAGCTGCATTTGGCCTCTCCCTTACTAAATGCGCAACCTTGGGAAACGACAGGGAAGTGTGCAGGGAATGCTCACTACATGCCTGTGATCAGTACTGTTTATTTCACTCCTTACAGGTGCAGAGATTGAGGCTTACAGGGCAAGTAACTTTCCCACAGTCACATAACTCCTGCGCGGTGGAGCCAGGGCTCAAGGCCAGGTAGCCTGACCACAGGGCACGTGCTCTGCACCACCTGGCTGAGCCCTCTCAGGCCTCAGCCTCCTCCTCTGTAAAGTTGAGACGATAACTAGTTACTGCACAGGGTTGCTGAGAGTTCGGTATGTTAAAGCACACACACTGTTTAGCACAGTGCTTGATATAAAGCTCTCCAGAGACTCTGCCGAGGCCTCCCACCTGGCCTTCACTTACCAGTTTCCCTCAGAAGCTTGAGAGAGGACCTACAGCCCTGGAGACAAGAGTGTCTTCCTCGGCTAAGTAACTGTAGTTGCCCCAAGACAGACAAGTCCCTGACTCCTAACCCAGCCCTGCTCAAGCAGCCTGTCTGGAAGATGGGCTGGGCCCCGGGCCCCGCCCTCCGGATGGAGACCCTGAGTCCTGACATGGGGTGGCGGGGGGGGGAGCTGGTATTTCTGGGTTCCTCCCCCTTGGTTTTGAATGACCACAGAGTAGGAAAGCCTGGTCAGATGAGTCAGATAATAGAAGTTTCATTGCCTCTAGAATATAGCCCCCCCGGGTGCAGCTTTCAAGGCGCTCAGGAGCCTGAGACCCCCGCCTTTCCCTCTCTCCGCTCCCCAGGCCCACCCCGCGCTGGAGCCCCTGTCAGGACATTTACTCCACTCTAAGTTTTTGCCTGGAACACCCTTTTTCACAGTGGGAGGCCCAATTCCAATGATGTCTTCGCCATAAAACTGTCCCTGCTCTTTCCTCTTTCCTCCAAAGCATTCAGACCAGTACTTTGACCAGGACATTGCATCATAGCTGTCTGTTTCCCAGTTGGCACACCAGTTAGTGTGTGAACCAGGAAGGCAGGGACTGGTTTGTGGAGTCCCCTGTGTATGCTCGGTGTTAGTACAGAGCCTGGCACCTAGGAGGTACTTGACAACTGCTTGTGAACTCAAACTAACTAAAAAACCCCAAACTCAATCTCTCTCCTCAAAAATGCCCATCTAATCTTAATGTATATATAGCTTCATAGGCTTATAATCAGTTTGAAATGCTATTTTTGTCTTCTCCTTTATTCAATTACTATTTTAAATAAATGTTGCTCACATGCTGTTGTCATTTCTACAGCAATAGTTTTCTAGCAAGAGAGGCAGAAATGGTACCTCAATGGTGGACATGGACTCTAGGGTTGGAGCCCAGTTGGGGGAAGGTTCTGCCCTGTTCATTGAGAGCCTGTGGTTCAGGCTGGTGAACACTGGAGACCGGAGAGAGTGGTGGGCCTGCAAGCCCCCGGCCCTTTCCCCGTACCTTGCCCTGTGTGTCTCTTCCACCTGCCTGTTCCTGAGTCACTGTACATCCTTTTAGAATAAACCAGTAATCTAGTTTTAAAAGATAAAAAGGCTAATGTGCCCCTGGGCAAGTGACTTCATCACTCCAGCCTTGGTTTTTCCAACTCTAAGATGGGCTGATAATAGTACCTACTTCAAAGAGCCATTATGAAGATTAAATAAATTAAGACGCGTCAAGGGAGCGGTCAAGTAGTAGTAACCGGCTAAACCACCATATCTGCTTGGGCCGCCACAGACTGTTTCAACCGTTCACTCTTCTGAGGAGTGTTCAGAGGACAACGGAATGCGGTATTTCCGTCCTAGAGGCTACACTGAGTCTCGGACGTTCAGGGCCTAACGTGCTCAAAATTTGGTAATAAACCACAGAAATGTACCACGCTCCCTTTCAAAGAATTCCTTCTCCCCAGCGTCCCTCAGAGCTAAGAGCCCAAGACTCGCTGTCATGTCGAATCCTCCCCAAGGCCCGCCCACAGGCTGTCCCTTCCTCCTCAGTGCCTCTCGGCCCTTCCTCCTCTTCCGTGGCCTGGTCCAGGGTCCCCGTGGCTGCCAGCAGTACTCATTCTTTCCGCGAGATCTACTGAGCCTTTACTATGTGCCGGGCCAACTGGGGATCTGATAAATGAGACCTGACGATGTCTTCGAGGAGCTTGACAAACAAAATAAACAAATAAGCAAAATAAATGTGTACCAATTAAATATTATACATATCCCCCCAGTTACCCATTGCTAGTAACAGTACAGCTGAACAAGGTCCTTCTATGCATTAGGCACTGTCTCACAGACTGTTCTAATCCTTCCAGCAGTGGAAGAAAGTGGCAGATTGCATTTTTCTCCTAGAGGACAACGAAGTTCAGAGAGGTCACCCTGTCCAGGTGGAAGTGGGGTGCTTGCCCAGGTCTGGTGACTGTGAAGTCTGTGCTCCTTCCACTGCACTCTGTCTCCCCAGCTTGCCCTGTGGCTGGCTCACAGCTGCCAGAGCTGTCCTACAGTGTTACGTGAATGGGGTCTCACTAATGCTCTTTGGCAGAATGGTCAGGACTGAATACAAGAATTGTTTCTGGAGATTAGTATGCCTTTATCTTTAAAAAGTTAAAACCAAGTAGCTTTGCAAGATTTTCTCAGTTTTAAAGCCTAGAAAATGGAGCCCATTTACTGATCCAAAAGTAGTGCTGTGTTCCATTTTGGGTCTGAAAGCACTTTCCCCTTCAGCTTCCTGTAGATGGCTTCTAAGTGTCTCACTGTACTCTGGACACAAGACTTGACTAGATTGATCATAATATCCTCTGCCCACTGCCTAGCAGAGAGGTTGCCTGGGTTCATGTAACAAAACCCTATTGCAATCCCTGACTTCAGCAGGATTCCTGGCCCTCAGCCCTTTCACCCTCCCCTGTAATGGAGCTGACCTCGGTTCTCATTACATCTTGGCTCCGGGACACTGCCGTGGCCGGGCGAAGCTGCCTCCCGTGCCCTGCACACAACTCGCTGTTACTTGGTGCAGCTGGGCCAGGCTCCACTCAATCTGCCCCTCATCAGTGCTGCTGACTGACTGGAATGCCTGCTCTTCTTTCTGCCAAACTCTGCTGCCTTTTTGACAACTCTGATGGACTCCTCCTGGCTTCAGCTGCTCCCCTCACCATCCGCTTCAGCCTCCTCTGGCACTTCCACAAAGAGTTCTGGGACCTTCTATCTGCCAGCCAAGGGACTTGATAGTGTGTATTTGTATCTCTTGCTATGGGTGGGTCCCTCTACTAGACGACTGCTCCTTAAATACTGTATCTTTCCCTCTTATCCTTTCAGGCTCCCAATTTAAACATATGCCAGGCACTATGCTACACCCCGGGGACGGTCATAAATCAGGTTCTATCTTTGTGCTCTGGCATTCACAGCACAGCAAGAAAGGCACACTGTGTCTTAAAAGCCACACAGAAAGTACGGTGTACCCAAGGCTTGTGATGGCATCAGGGCAGGAGAACTCTCAGTGAGACGGTGAAGGGTGGGGCAGGAAAGGCTCTCTACTAGAGACGATGCCTGAGCTGGTTGTCAAAGATGAACACATCTGATGAGGAAGGAGGGCAGGCTTCTGCTCCCAGCGCGGGGCGCAGGCCCTGGCCACCGCAGGACCTCCCCGCTTCCTCTGGCCCCAGCCAGCAGTATTCTAGTTATCACGTCTTCCTGTAGTGTCCTCCCAGCTCCCCGTTCCTGGAGTCACACAGACTCAGGTTCAAATTCTTGCTCGATCACTTACTGTTACTATCCTACTTAGATATTCCAAGACTCAGTTTCCTTATTTGTAAAAAGTCAGTGACAAGTGCCTGCCTCATGAGGTTATGGTACGAATTAAGTCAAGTGATGCAGGCAAAGCCCTGAGCACAATGCCTGGCAGTAAAAAGTGCTCAATAATATCAACTGCAACATGGCCTGTATCTGTGATGTGGAGATAAGTATCTGCCTCCTCCTTAGCAAGAATTTGCTGTCCTGATCCCGCCCACCCTTTTTGCTGCTGCTGGCAAAAAGAACAGTGCTTCAGAGGTACTGCGGGCCAGGGGAAAGTTCTGTGAGCCAGGGTCCAGAGATCCAGTTCTGAGCTCCAGCTCCGCCAGCCTTTGCTAAGCCACCTGAGGAAGTCCTTTAACATGTCGGGGCTTCTCTACCCACGCTCAGTCCCTGTCAACTGCAGCCTAGACCCAGCTGTCTGCAGGGACTTCCATGTAGTCTTCTGATGGTTGCCCTACCAAACAGGAGACTGCATGCACACAGGAGGGGACAAAGGGACACTTGGCTATGTGGCCTGTCAGCAGCTCTCTTCCTGATGGCGAGGGAGGTTTGAAAGCCAGTTGGTGGGGAGGAAGAAAGCAGACGGCTCGGCTGTGAACTGCCGATGAAGAGCAGCAACCCTTCGGAGCTGAGAATTGTCCTGGCCAACAACTAGCAAGAAAATGGGAAACACAGTCACACGCCATGAGGAAATGAATTGTGCAGACACTGAATCAGCCCAAGCCAGCACCTGAGTGTGGCCTTGTGAGAGCAGAGGGTCCAGCTACACAGTGCCCTGACCCATAGAGAAAATGAGAGAGAATACATTCGTGTTGTTTCAAGCTCTTATATTTGGATTGGTTTCTTATGCAGTATTGGAAAACTAATATATAAACTATCCCAACTTTTTTGTAAATTAGGGAGGCCATACATAAACAAAACACGAATAACCAACTGTGAGCATTGTAAAATAAAATAAAGTCATCTGGTGGAGGGTCCAGCCCCCAAGGCCTTACAATTGCGATGACCCTCATTTCCAACGGATGGCCGGGGAGAATGGCAGTCTCCCTGCAGCCGTGGGCCCGCGCCAGCTGCAGACTGCCCTCTTACCTCCTTCCTGGCCTGCTTGACTGCCCTGGCTGAACTCCGTTTCCAGTGTTCATGGCCTCTTCTTGCCCAGGCCATGACCCCGTCCTGCCTTGCTCCACATCCCTGCGGCGGGTCACCCCGCTTCTTGGCAGGGCCCCTGTGGCTCTGTCATGCCCCTGCGAGCGCCGGGCCAGTGGTCCTACCTCTCGCCTTGGCCTGGCTGCGGGGTACCTACCCACCCCCCCCACATCCCAGAGGCCTGGGCCGTCCTGGAAGACCCCAAAACATGTGAGGGGTTCTTCTTTTTCTTCCCTTGCCCTAAGCTGGGCCAGGGACCTTTTGCCAGAGCTGCTCTTGCCCTTCGTCCTAAGCCTGAGGTTTTGGTGGTTACCCCTTCTCGGCTTCTTAGATAGGTTTTCAGTAAAACTACCATCTGAAGACATGATCTAAAAACAGTAATAGCAGTTATCACAGTGCCTACTGGGTGCCAAGACCAGGTACATGCAAGGTCTCATTCAATCCTCAATCCAGGTGGATGGGTGGGTGTTGTCGTCACCCCTGCTTCATAGATGACAAAAACAAGCCTTAAATACCTTGGCCAAGGCCATACAGCAGATGCAGAGCTGCACCTCTAACGACTAGATGCACTGTCTCTATATTTTTCCCCATAAAATTCTCTACTGATGACTACTACTTCACCTACCTGAAGAGTACGTGAACCACTCACAGTGAGGGCAGGGGTATGTAACACCAGTAAGTTGCTGAGCCAAGCCCCCGTCTTAGGAGGACCAGAAAGCCCTGGGGAGTGGGGACGGGGCTTCCCAGAATGCTTAAAAGCAGCCCTTTATAAGTCAGGAAGCAGCTGCCTCTTTTCCTTCTCCAGCCCTACCTGCCCCGCTGCCCACCCCCATTCTTGCCAGCACCGGCTCCCCGACCTGCCTTGTCTGAGGACAATCTGGGACAGCTCCCACCCGCGGTCAGCGCCTCTGGCGGGTAAGAGGCACCACCCCTGAGAGGCGATGGCTGGATCTGTTCCTGCTCCCCTAACACTTCTATTCTCAGGCAGCTCCCACTGCCACTGGGGCGGCGCTGTCTGACGCCCAGGCTTCAAGGCTCCCCATTTCCTCTTCACCGGCTAATTCCAGGTCCATGGTAGGCTGATCCTCTACCGGTGGGCCCCTCACCTGGTGTCATAGTTGTTGGAGTTCTTATCAAACTTGTAGGTGGGCGGGAAGAGCAGAGGGCCCTCCTGGAACTCCCGGAGCAGCGGGTCGCACCTCTTGGCAATGCTGAGCTGCGGAGAAAGGCGCAGCCTCGTCCCCCAGCGGTCCTGACCCCGGCCAGCAGCACACTCCATTTAAGGGGTCAGCCATCAGAGGGAGGTAAGAGGCAAGCAACGACACTGCCACTTCGCTTCCTCTCGGCTCCAGGGACAGCCTCAGCACCCCATCCCCACCCCCAGGAGAAGAGCCAAATCCTTTCGCAAACATCACCCCACAGTCCCGGGGGGCGGGCAGCTGCCTGCCATTTCTCAGTTCTTGGACTATAGGGACCAGACTTTGAACTCCATCTTTCTGGGAGCCACTAGCAGAAAAGTGTCAGAGGGGAGATGGGGGGTAGCCAGGGTTCCCCAAATGGGTGGTATCTCATCCTCTAGGAGGCAAGCAAGCCTGAGGATGGGGAAGACAACAGGGATACAAGGAGACTGGTACTCAGCAGGCCTAAGCCCCTCTCACTCCCTGTGGTGATGCACACTCAGCAGCTACACCCTGGTTCCCCCAAATGAAGGCGAGGCCCTGCCAGGACTGGCTGTCCCACCCCCAGGAGCAAAGCCCTGTTGGACTCCTCCCTGCTTGGGAACAGCGGTTTCAGAGAGCTGGGAAAGGGGAACAGGCACTGAGCACCCTCCGCACATTTCATGCTGGACCTCCACCGTGGGCTCAGGTCACCCCTCGGGACCCCCCCACCCCAATACCTGGTCCTTCTCCCACAGGTCACTGTAGCACTGATTTTTTATGGATTCCCGAACAAAGTGCAACCCAAAGTCCTCGATCCGAAAATTCATGTCTCCAAACCAGACAATGACACTTCAGAAAGAAAAGAAAGCAGCCTGAGGTTTGTGATGAGGACGGAGAAGGAGGCACAACAGGTGGCTCAGGCGTGTTCACTCCAGGGGCCGCAGGCGAGAAGCCCAAGCCTGGGAGAGGACTGCGTGAAGACCAGCGCACAGGCCCAGCAGGGCTGTTCTCAGGGCTCCCACCCCATCGGTTAAGCTGGAGAGACCAGCCCTGAGGACAAGGGGTAAATAGAGGCAGGCTGCAGCCCTCCCTCCAGCTCCCGCCCTCAACTGGCCACCCGGCAAGGCTGAGAACCAGCCCTCTGGGTGACCTCAGGAACCACAGGGTGCCTGCCCAGCCATGCTCAGAAGTGGCCGAGGCTTCTAGGCAGGGGAGGGGAATGGGTCCCAGACCTGAGGCAGGCAAAGCTGGGTAAGAGAGCAGAGGGGGTATCAGGGACGAGAACAGGAGAGGGTGGGAGAGGGGCACCCACGGCCTCTGGCTGCGCAGCAGTGACCGCGCAGAGGCCACTGGCTGGGCTGGCGTGGGAAAGCGGGCAGGGGCGGCGGCCTGCGACTGCATGCTCACTCATGGTCCAGGATGTTGGGGATATCAAGTCCTTCAAAATTCTGCATCTCTAGGATTCGGTCAAAGTGCTCCAGTCGCTGGTCATTGTTGGTCATGTGGGGGGGCAGGTGGCAGTTGATGATGCTGACGTAATAGCCGTAAAGCTTCAGGCAGATGTGGACGCCCCCTTTGTTCCCCTGGTAGGACAGGCAGGCAGAAGAGTTGGAAGCTGCTCTGGGTGGGACACACCTGTTTTCCCATGGTAGGCCTGACGGGAGAGGGTCTCTCCTCCCACAGGATCTCCCAGTGCCAGACATCCAGCTTCCCAGGGCAAGCTCTCCATCCACGAGCCCAGCTTACCCAGCCTGAGCTCTCAGGGCACTAAGCGCCCAGAGGCAGGAGAGTGGGTATGCAGGGCACTAGCCTGGCCAAGATTCGTTTTACTCCTTTTTCCATTTGCTCAGCTCTAAAGCACCCGGCCCTTCCAGGCCCAGTAATAGGAGGGTTCCCCGTTCACGGCTCAGACAAGACTCAGTTCTTACCCAGTACCCGAAGAGGCCAGTGGGGGTGGATTTAGTAGAGAGGATCTGGATAAAGGGCAAATGCTGGTACTTGGCAAAGACCAGTAAGAGGAGCCCCTGCATGCGGACAGAGGAGACCTGAAGGACAGGGAAGGACAATGGTCATTCATTTCCCTGCACAGGCTGAGCGTGCCCTTCCCCAGGCTCTATGGCATCTCAGTTCAAGTCTCAGAGTTTCACTCGCTTTAGCTGCTAAATGGCGCACTGCAGGAGCTAAGCACACTTGTTTCTGGGCCTGGGCCTGGGGGCTGACGGCAGAGAAGGCAGGGCTGCCAGGGCGTCTGGCCATCGGGAGGGCATCGATCGTCGGCCCCCGCCCCATGCAGGCCTGGGCGCTCCTCTCACCGAGGACGTCCTCCTGAGGCCCCCCGGGTACCCCTGTGCCACCACCCTGAGGGCCAGGGCCTCAGAGGAATGCAGCTAGACGGGATAGTGGGTAAGGGAACTGACTTTAAAGTTAGCCAAATCTGGTTCAAATCCTGGCCTGGGCTCTTAGTATTTGGTACTGGGCAAGTCTCCCAGCCTATTATTTCACTGATAGAGCAAGAATCTATCTCATAGATGCTGGAAGAATTAATTGGCAGCTGTTGGATTCTGTTTGTTTTAAAAAAAGATTTATCTATTTACTTTGAGAGAGAGGGGAAGGGAGAGAAACATCAATGTGTAATATATCGATCGGTTGCCTCTTGCCTCTCCCCAGCTGGGGACCTGGCCTGCAACCCAGCCATGTGCCCTGACCAGGAATCGAACCGGCAACCTTTAGGTTTGTAGGCCAGTGCTCAATCTACTGAGCCACACCAGTCAGGGCTGGTTTAAGGATTCTTAAAAATAAATGGAGGGAACGAACATGACAAAGCCTTCTAGGGTGCTGGAAATATTCTGACCCTTGACTAGACTGACAGGAACATGGATGTATATACATATAAAATCCCTCAAACAGTACACTTATTTTCTGCATACATTATAGCTCAGTGAAAATTAAGAAAATGCTCCCCCCAAATAATTACCGATGGTGGGCAGCTGGATGTTCACAAAAGCAATGTAGCAGGGATAACAGCGAGTTCAGAGGACAAGTGTTCGCAGGTTGGGGAGAACAGCTGCTACAGTGCTTCATATCCCATTTAACCTTTACATCAACCCTGTAAGGGACCACTGTCCCTGGTTTTCAGATGAAGGATTGAGGCTCAAGGAGAGACTAAGGAACCGCAGGACTACCTGGACAGAAACGTCAAAGTACCAGGACTGCCAAAAGCCCTGCTGTGTGTGGCCACGGAGCGGGGTGGGCATGAGAATGGGCTACAGCGAGTGACCCTCTCTCAGAGGCAGGCTGTCTACATCCACCATCCGAGTAGCTGTTTCCGGAGCATGAGGTGCAGAGGCCAAGGAGGAAATCCCCGGGTGGGGAGTGTGTACTGGGGCCTTCCAGGAATTATGAAACTTGATCCTGCAGGTCAGGATCTCTGGCAGAGTAGAGGAGTCAAAGCAGGGGGAACCCCAAACCCAGGGCTGAGGGAGGGAGGCATGAGAACCTAGGGTCGGGCCGCGGTTGCTACAACTGTGTCCACGATCCCACCCTCCACCGGTCCTGGTTTCTACCCTTCACAAGCACAGGTGGTAATGAAAGTAAGAGGAGGGCTACACTATGAGGGACTGACTCCCAAGGGAAGGAAGAAAGATGCAAGAAGAGTTTCAAGTTTAATCCTAACCCAGAGCTGACTGGGGCCACTGGGCTCTACCACAAAGGCACCAGTCGGCTTTGTGAAGAAGGGAGGTGGAGGGGTGGGGGAAGGGCAGGAAAGTCTCAGATTGGGATAGGGTGGGGCTGCGGGGAAAGGCAGGAGATTTGTAGGGGAAATTCTAGTTAAGAGGAAATGAAGTGGGTGGGGCTAAGGAAAGGCCTAGAAAGGAGGTGACTGGGAGTCCTGGAGCCAGCAAAGGGGGCAGCCCCAGGCTTCTCAACGGACCTCCTGTCCAAGAAATAGGCTACGAGGGTTCACCCCTTCACCTCAATTCTTGGCTGGGGATAGGAGGGTCATTTGCTTTGGGTGCCAGGCCCTCAGACTGGCCTCCCAACCCTGGGAGGCGGCCTGGGTAGAATGGGTTGTGTCCCTGCCACACGCTGAGCTAATTTCCTTGGCTCAGTTCCATTCTACTGATCCCTTGCCAGTTAGCCAAGGTGCAAGAAGGCTGCCAGTCTTGGGAAGGGAGTGGGTGGCGAGAGAAGTGGTTCTGCCCTCTGAGAGGATTTAGCTCCGTGTCTGCAGGAAGAGGCCCCAGTCTGATCTGAAGGGAGCCAAGGGCTTGGGCAGGGCCTGCGTTTTCTACATCCCCTCCTCCTAGCTCCGCCCTCCTTGGGAGGAGTCCCAACTCTGGCCTTAGCGCCCTTAGGCACACTAGGGTGACAGAATTAATTCTAAAGAGATCCAGCCACCCAGTGAAGGGTATAGGGCAATTCTGGTATTTTCAAGAAGCGATGCATTAGGTGCTTTGAATGCGACTATGTTTCATCCCTTAGCTCTGCAAGATGGAAATGTGAAGCTCAGCAATCAGGAGCCTTCCTGTGGGTTCTCCCATGAGCTAAATAATTCCCCAAAGAACACTGAGCCTTCAGACTGACAACCCTTTTACTCTGCACCTATCTCCCCTTTTCCAATCCCTGGGCTCCTGAGAACTTGTGGTGCATGACTCCTATAATCAGAGGATACCCTCTGATACCAGAGGGTTAGCCATGGGATACCTGCCAGCCTTTAAGCTCAGCAGTATGGCAACAAAGTACGGTAGTTAAGAATGCGGGTTATGAAGTTTGAAAGATCTGGATTCAAATCCCAGGCAGCCTGTATGACTTCTGAATCTTGGTTTTATCTGTAAAATACTCATATTTCAGGACAAGATGTCAAGCTTTCAAAATAACGTAATAAAGAGCTTATTTATAATGCTTAATACCATGTAAAAATTGGACAAATGCCAGCAATTATTATACCCAGAGACTGCACGCCAGGCATACGAGGAGAGACTGGCTAGGGGTGGGGTAGGCTCAAGGGACGGGGCAGGCATTGAGCTGTTACTAAGCCCTGCTGCACCTCCCCGAGGCCTTCTCCCAACCTGAAAAACATCAAGGTGGAAACTAACCCCTGGGGTCCCAGCTGAGCTCCAGCTACCTCAGAAAGGCATGAGGCAGGCAGGAGCGCCAGGAGCCAGGTGTCACTGAGGTTCAGGCCTTTAAATAAATGGGAAACAATACAAAAGCCTGACTGGGAGACCAAAGGACTTGGGGTCAGTGACAAGAGGTAAGACACATTTCCCAATTGCCCATGAACTTGAAAGTTACCTTGACGAAGCTGAGAGGGGAAAGCACATCCATGAAGAAACTGCTCCATGGGTCTTCAAAGGCGGCGTCAGAAAGGAGGTTCCTGATGCCACAGTTCATTTCCTGCAAACTGCCCGACCCGGGTCAGAGGCTCTCCCTCCCAGCCTGGAGGGAGCTACCTCTGCCACCGACATTTTGTGCTGCCCTCAGCAGACCGCCAAGCCTTGGGTTCTCATGACCATGCTCTCTCCCTCCCAGGCTGTGAATCCCCAGCCCCTTGCCATTGCTGATCCAGGACGGGAGACACTGGCCCTGATGCAGCTCCCAGCCTTCGCGCTCCAGAGCGAGGGAGGACAGATTACGGCAATTCCTCATGGGACTGGGGCTGCTCAGGCTCGCCTGATCTAGATATAGGGGTGGGTGAAGGGGCCGACACACCTACCCAATAACATACATGTCCAGATTCAAGTTCTGGTTGTTCAGCTGAAGGAGATTATCGGGGTCTAAAGGGGGTGCCGCAGAGGCCACATTCCATGTCACGATATGTATGCTGTGGAAGGGATGAAAAGGAAGTCATGGAGGAAGGAGGATAACACCTTGCCCAGGTAATGGACGGGGTGTAGGACTGCTAATGGCTGCACCACAATCCACTGCAATCACAGTGGGAAACACGGTTCTGCACCTGATGGTGGGGACAGAGGTACTGAACTACATGCCCTCCACCTTTACCTTTGTTCCTGGAAGCAGGAAATTCCCACCCTGGATTGGCTTCTCCATGCAGGCCGAAAGCTGCCCACATCTGGCAGCACTGGTGCTCTTGACACTAGCAGAGCTGCCAAGGTGTGCTCAGAGGTTTTGGGGTCACGTTTGGGATCAGGCAAGGAAAGGGGTGGATAGTCAGGAATTTATTAATTTCACCAACCATTCACACTGCAGCAATCATCTATGGCTTGGTCAGCAACTTCCCACTCCCCCTTCTTCAACCCAGGGGTTCCTAGGATCACCAGAATGATTCTGGAGGTTCAAGTTTCACCTGTTGACAGGCCTCAGCAAGACCCAGCAGGGGAATTTTGAAAATAACAGAGATAACACCACATTCCCTTCCTCACTCCTTCCTGTGGCTGTGATCCCCAGAGCACAACTAATTCTGCCAGCATTTAAGAGAGCCTAAGAAGATTCTACCTAACAGGTTTTTCAACATCTCTCTCAAAAGTCTACCCTCTTTTGGGAAAAGTCATCCGTTGGTGATATCCTCCATCTCAGCTTCCTATGAGCCCTAGGGATGCAACAGAACTAGATCAGCAACTCTCATTAACACTGGCTTCCCATCAGAGGCTCAGAGGAAGGAGAGGCTTGCAGATCTCCACCGCGTAGTTACAGGAACACTCAAAGGAAGCCCCAGGCTGTGCTGAGTTCAGAGCAGGCAATGGCTACAAACCCTGTGGAGAGCAAGAACAGCCACCAAGCCTCCTCTGAGTCCTAGCTACACCACGAAGTGGACCTGCAACAGCGGCAGATCTAGAATGGGAGAGGGTTAGAAAAGGCCAGGTTATCACAAAACATCTCTTCTCCACCAGACCCCATTCTTAGAGGTCCATGTTTTAAAAAAAGCACAACTTGAAGAAATTCTTGGCCGGCTTGAAGCAACTTCCTGCTCCTTTCCACGAACAAAAACAAAACAAAAAACACCTTTCCAGGCACTCAGCCAGAGATTCTGTGCTTCGTTTGTTTACGATCTCCCCCTGCTGTCCAACGGAAGATTAAGAAAAGCAGCCCTTTTATTCCAAGACTCTCCTGTTTTCCCAGGGACCTCCTCTAAGTGAATGGGAAGCAAAAGCCAGGATTTCTTGCCCAAATTCTCAAGTCCCACAATTATCAGCAAATCCTTGCACCGTGACCTGCACTAAGTTGGTGATTAGCGTTGTTTCCTGCTCAAAAGCAAGCATGCGTCCAGGCTATGGTTACTTCACCAAAGCATCTTACCTAAATCTGATTTCGGATTTTAGGAGGTCACAACGGGATCAGGCAGACCCCATGATGTAAATACTGATCAAAAGTAAGAACAGATTTCTACCCTACAGCGGAGGCTTCGTTTTGTCTTTAACTCCAAACAGCCCAACACTGCTGCCTCCTCCAGAAGCCAACTGGGCACCTGCCTGGGGCCCAAGCGGCAAATAGCTCGCCGGCTTGAGTTTGGAAAAGGACTTAACATAGCCTGCTCGACAATGGGATAATTTGGTAGGACATCCGAACTAAAAGCAGCTCTGTAGGCCTGGCCTCTTCCTTCCCAGTCTGGTTCTACCCCAGATTCGCAGCCCCAATTGCGTCGGAAGCAGTGATCCAACCCGGACCTGTCCTTCCTCACCTGAGCCTCCTGCCTCTCTGTTCGGTCGGCTTCAACGGGTTCACGGTCGCCATCGTCCCCACGCCGTGGCCTGGCCGGCTCGCCCCAGCCGGTCCTGGACCGATCAACACTGCGCAGGCGGCAGGTCCCGGCCCGCTGGGTCTCGCCGGACTGTTTTCCTTCCGGATTCCGGACCTGTGTCTCGGCTCCCGTAAGAGGCGGGGCTTGAGCGCAAGGAGCACTCTGTTTGGTGCGGCCCGGGGGAAGAGGCGGTACTCTGAACAAGCGCGAAAAGGTGAAAGGCTGAGAGGAAAGGAGCTGAAAGGATCTGCCGTGTGAGGCGTGTCCTAGTGTCTTCAGAACCCCACGTAACATTGCCCCGCCCCGCGTGCGGGTGCGGCTGCCCGGACGCTAACGCCGGGGCTCTGCTCGCCGTCCTCAGGCTCCCAGATTGCCCCGCGCGAGGCCGGCCGGGAGGGGCCGTCTTCCGGCGCCAGCCGTGGGCGCGCCTGCAGGGGCGTTCTCGGCTCCGGCTGGTTATGCTAATATCCAACCTGAGATCTCTAATGTACGCGCTGCGCCTCCCCCGACGACTTCCCAGCACCCTGAGGCCCAAAGAACGAAGTGCGGAGGGGGCCGTCCAGCCACTGTCTTGCCTGCAGTCCAGTCTCTTTCCCCCACCCAACTCCAGGTAATCTTTCTCCTGTTGGTCATTGGGCTCCTCCACTCTTCGTTCTCCACGCCCACTTTAAAGTTTTTTCGGATTTCGCTCTTAGGTTACCAATAACACATTGGACATTTCGGGGTTCTTGGACTCTCAGAAAACTAGCCATCAACGAATTAAAAATAAATCACTGCCTCTATTTTAAGACCGAACAAGAAATGATTACTTTGTCAAAGATTAACTTATTTTTTTCAGATCGATGGTTTAGTATTTCGGGGGGAAAGGGAGGCGGAGAGTACAGCGCATGGATTCCTTTGAGGATCTGATGAGAGCCGTGACTTTTCTCAGAAAAATTCAGTTTTACAAACAAGGTTCATGAGATTCACAGACCCGGATTTTTCAATATGTTTTGCTTGGTAGGATGGGAAAAAAAGGAAGAGGTGAAGAAGACAGGAGATGAAAGCAAAAAGGAAATACTGACAATAGGAAATAGCCAAATTACTTTCTGATATGTGATGTTTGCATAAGCAAAATGAAAAGGGGATGTCTTTTTTTTTTTTAAAGGTTTTATTTATTTTCTTAGAGAGAGTGGAAGGGAGGGAGAGGGAGAGAAACATCCACGTGGGAGAGGAACACTGATGTGCAAGAGATACATGGATGGGTTGCCTCTCACACACCCCAAACTGAGGACCCGGCCTGCCACCCAGGCACGTGCTGTGACTGGGAGTCAAACCGATGACCTTTTAGGTTCATGGGCCAACACTCAATCCACTGAGCCAAGGCAAAGGGATGTTTTAATTTTGGAAACCTACCTGCAAAAATTTGAGCTACCTTGTACCTTTCCTAATCTTTCCCTGGTAAAATGGGGGACATGGGCAAGAGTTTGAGGACATGTAAGTTGTAAACTGGACATGAGGACATCACCAATAAGTTCGACTCCAGAAAGCTCTGTCTAGGATTTTATTAGACTGCTTTTTCCCCCAATATACCTGTATTGGAAGATTGAGACAAAAAGGCACAAACTCACATTAAATAAGGTAATCTAATCAAGTCTACAAAGTGTATTTTGTAAAAGAAGTAGCACTAGGAACCAACCAAAATAACTCAGGGAGTCCCAGCAGGGACTGTAAGAGAACTTGGGAAGATATACTGGTGCCCACAATACTGACCCTGTCCTTGACCTCTCTGTGAGAAGGCCAGAGCCTAGCACCCCTCCCACAGAGGCAACTGCTGCTTCCAGCTAGGACTGTGACCCTGAAAATCTAATGGAAACAGCCGATCTGAAGGGGTGGGGCCCATCCTCAGATACTACCCTGGAGCTGAGCCTTTCATCGGAAGCCCCACTGAGTGCTAGCTGGTTTGGGGGAGGGGGGCGTGGGAGGGATACCTAAAAAAAGACTACACCGTTGCCCAGCAGCAACACTATCCGTGGGGATGGAAAAGACCAGGGAAATCCCTCCTTTCCTTAATGTGGGCTGGAGCCCCAGATCCAACTGACTTCAGGAAATTCCAGCTCTGCTCATGTGGATGCTTTCCAACTGGGGCAACAGGTAAAGGTGGGAAGAGCCAGCGAAAACGCAGACAGAGCAAGCCCCCGCCAGAGCTGGAGTGATATGTGTGGTCTCAGAGAAGAGCTGAAGGAAGGAGACTAACATCTGACCCTCAAACCACCTAAACAACTGTCTGCATAGAATATTGACAGTTGTTTCTCCCAGGATAGTCCACATCTGGACTTCACTGAGATGATGGATGAAGAAGGGAGAGCGTTAAGCACAAATGTAATTACAGCTGATACAGAGCTTGAAGGAAAACATTTACATTTTTCTCCAGTAGGAACACCTCTTCAACTTTCCCAGTCAAATAAATGCTACTGGCATTTGGGATGTTAGTAATCAACTGAACTGTACCTGATCATTGCTACTACAGACTCCATAAGGTGAGGAGACTAAAGGGAAGGTGTAACAGGACATCTGGTCCCAAAGGAGCCTTGATGGAGGTTGGAGCTAACCATGTGGAGGGGTGTGAGTCTGTCTACCCTTGTCCCAGGAGGGTCACGGGGACACATCCTTCAGGATGTCACAGGGGAAATCCTGTGAGAGATTCCCTTATTGCACTTAGAAATAAGGCAAAACAAACTGACAGAAACATAAGGATAAATTTTCCCATCCTACTTCTCGCCCCCCCAAAAGAGATTTGGTTTCTCTCATTAGCAGCTACATGCAGGCTAGCATAGGCTTGGATCACTATACAGTTGGCCAACATTACTCCTCGAGGTTTGGGAAATGTTAGGTTACACCACAGCTATCTCAGATTCTCCTATTGGGAAAGGCATATCCAGGTTCTGCCAAGTCATAGGAAACTTGGAAGTGCTCAGCAGCTTCTGTTCCCCTGGAGCCTGGGCTCTCAAAGACCTACTTTGGTAGAGCTCTGTTCTATGGTCACTACTTGCTTTTGATTGTCCAGGACACAACGCATCTTGGGGGCAGGACGAGCAGGGATCTTGATTCCCAAATCCTTTTCAGTAACTGGAGACAAGAGGGAACATGTTCTGCTTGGGAAGAAGCTTTTTGCATGCTTGTTTTGTGCAGCATGAAAAGATCAGGACTCTTGTGTCCTGACCAGCCTCAAAGACAGAGGGCAAGAATCTAAGAAAGCACAGAGAAAAAGAGGATTATTGCTGAGTGTCAGCACCAGCCCAAATGGGAAGAGGAGCATGGACATACAGAGCTCCTTGGGGGGCAGACTAATTAGTATATATGGGGCAGGCTCAGTTCTAAGGGCCACACTGGACAGGCCCCTCCAGGCGGAGAGCTGACCCGGGCATATTACAGGCTCTGCAGAGATGCAGACAGAGTGGGCAACAGGAGGGCAGAGAAGCCATAGGTATTCTAGGACTAGTGACCAGAGATAACTCCTGGGGCAGGAGTTATTTGTGTTTGTTAAGTTTTCAAAACAGAATGTCTGGGCCTTGGGTATTTCCTTGGTGCTTAGAACACTTTAACAATGGGTTACTGGGAGCAGAGGTCAGAGTTATGAAGCCACATTGCTGTTCTGTGGAACTGGGGGAAAAACTAATTCATTCCCTTTCCCCACGTGAGCACTCAAAATTGCAAAGATCTGCCCAGGAAACAAAATACCTCAGTTTATCCCAAGGCTGAAAACAAACAAACTTAATTCATTTAAATCACCACATCACAAAAGGCAGCTATTTTGAAAGACTAAAAATGTCACTTGAAAATAAAGGGGGGGACACACAGAAATGGGTTGAGAACACAATGGCTGGAGAGGGAGGAGCCGTTAATACAGTAGCCTACATGCCACATATCTCAGAGGAGCAGGCTCCTGCACACACGGGCTTCATAATACCAGAGAGTATTTGTTCACAATATTAAAGGGCATCTAGAATTGGCTACAGTAAGGGATCGAAAGTTGCCTGAAGAACGGGCACAGAAAGGCTACATCCGAAGATGGCCTTCACTCAGGATGGTGGAGCTGCTGGGCCTTCCTGTTGACCACTGTCTTGCAAAACTAGAAGAGAAATACAACTGTTAAGGAAACAACAGAGAAAAACAGAAACACTGTAAATCATTAATTGAGTAATTTCAAAAGGAAGAAGGATGCCAGTTGGTGTCGGGCTTAGGGAGAGAGACAAAAGTAAGGTTTGAGCAGTGACTGAGAAGCTGGCATTGCAACAATCCACTTAATCCTACCCTTTTATCTCCCAAAAGTTCTCAAGCACATGGGGCAGGGAGAGTGAACAGAGGTTACATCACTGCTGGTGAGTTCGCAGGCCTCTTTAGCTCTTTAGTGCTACGGGACAGCCAATTTTTATTTGATAAAATCTCTCAGAGCCTGATGGGGAGCAAAACCAGGTTTTTCATTCCATGACAAAACCCACACTGAGCTTCTGGAAAAACAGCAGGTCTGGAGGTATGCAGGGCACTGGGGGCAATTAGAAGGAAGGGAAATAGGGAAGAGTGATAATATGAAACAAGGAACATCCCATCCTGGTTCTATGACCTGGGGAGAAACATTTGCCAAGCTTCTGAGAGATGTTGCCTCTGATGAGGACAGCTACTCAGTATGGGATCGGGGGTATAAAATGGAAGGAAATGAAGCACTAGGCATAACAATAAATGTCAACAGACTTTCCAGGGGATGCTAGCAGTTGGGAGCTAGGAACTGGCTCTGGGACGGGGTGGGATGGGTATAGAAAGTGTCCCATAGAAAGTGAGCCGATGCCAGCTTCGACTTGAAATAGCTCAAGTTAGGAGAGGAAGAGCAGTTAGTTGCACATAAGCTTCAATTCTGTATCCACTGTGCCCCTGTCTCACTGCCCTGTCCATGTCTCTGTCTGGGTAGTTCTTTCTAAAATTATATGTGTCTGAAATGTCCCAATAGTCATGATTTCTTTCAATAGAAGTCTAAGGGCATGACAAGCCTGTTTAGCATGGCAATGATTATTCCTAGGGGGCAGGGGGAGAAATGAAGCCGGTGTTCTGACTCCACAGTGAGCTGCTGAGGCCTTGAGGACCCAAACTGATTTTAGCACCATGACAAACACACAGGGAAACTGGGTACATACAGTGCAGAAGGGGGAGGGGTGGCTTTAGTCATCTGCTGTCATTCCTTTCACTGGGTCCTTTTGTCTCATCTGAAACAGAAAAAGCAGAAAAAAACTGAAGCTCTTGCTGTTGATGGAACTCTACAGGTAACATCATGCCCTCACAATCCTGCCGACAGGGTGGTGCACTTTTTGTGCACAAGGTCAATCAGAAGAATAGAATTCTGCACACACATAGCCAAAACCATACCATTTACAGCTCTGTGACACTGGTCCAACCATTCATGATTCCTGTTCTCTCCACTGCAGCCCAGTGTTGGGGTTTAGTTCTTAAGTTCCTTTCTTTTCTCTCTTTCAGTCATTCAACCGATATTTAGGAAGTATCACTTTTGTGCTAGGCATTGCTCCAGGCCTGAGGATTCAGCAGTGAACCCAAACAGACCAAGCCTTAATGCGGGGGAAGTGCTACTTTATGAGCTGGCTACAGAAGGCTTCTCTGGTGAGGAAGTGAGTGGGAAAATCCTCGGGCTCCCTGGAGACGGGGGAGACAAGGCACAGTGATCCAGGCAGGGGGAACATCAATTCCCTTTCCTGAGCTCTGCTTAGAGGCTTTGCCCACCAGTCAGTCAGATGGGCACAGTGTGGTACCAGAGTTTGGCACAAGAACACAAGTAGAAATGACAGGGGGAAGATCTCAGCTTAAAAGAGGTGTGAGGCTGCTGCAAAGCAGATGGGGTCTTTTCTGGAAGTACCGAGTGGTCCCTGTCACTGGTGCTTTCCAAGAAGTGGACACAAGATCTTGTTGGGCATACTGTGGTGGTGATCGTTCTCAAATCCTTTCTGACTTGAAAATTCCATTTGTAGAATGTCTATAATGTGTATTTTAATTTTCCATCAGATGTATATTATTTTATCCTCACCCGAGGACATGCTCACCAATTTTAGAGAGGGGAAGGGAGACAGAGAGGGAGAGAAATATTGATGTGAAAGAGAAACATCAGTTGGTTGCCTTTCGTATGCATCCTGACCAGGGACCAAACCCACAACCTAGGCATGTGCCCTGACTGGGGAATCAAACCTGCGGCCTTTCAGGTTGCTCGCAACCAGCCAGGGCCCATTAGATATTTCTTTACTATCTCTGAGTTTTCTGCTCAGTTTTCATTCTTTATTCATTCAATAAATTTTGAGCCCCTAAGAGTATGACCTCTGGAAGAAAGTACCTGTAATTGTATTCTGGCTTCATCACTAACAGTGTGAACTTAAGCACATTACTGGACTATTCTCTAAACCTCAATTTCTGTAATAATATGGGGTCATGGTAACGATTAAATAAAGATACTCATGTAGAATAATTAGCATAGCACAGGGTCTGGCATGGAGTACACATTCATTACATGTTATCTATGTTGTTATTTGTTCCTGAAGCATGTGTACATACACAAGCTCTGAAGAATCTGGACTTTTAATCTACAGCCCTCCTCAGAGTTATTATTCACTAAAACTTCAATACCGGCACATTTTGCAGAGACTCTTAGTAGCAATAGCTCTCCACAGGAAATATTCTGAAAATACACTTCCTGCCACATTCCAAACCCATGTTTCTTGTTCACACACACACCCAGGAAGTCCAAGTGGAACATGGGCATGGTAAAAAAAAATTCTCCTGGTCCTCCCCAGGACAGGCCAGAGTTTCCTCAAACATGGTCACTATAGTTGACTGGGGTACTTGCAGATTCTTGGATCCTGGACCTGATGAATTGGAACCAACAGGGGATGGGCCATAAGTGAGTCATAAAGTGACTCATTTGGCATAGCCCCCAGCAAAGGTCCTCTGCTCCCAATAGGAATGTCTATTTTCAGACACTTACTAGTCCCAATCCTTTGAGTAGGCTCTTAGCTCCACCTGGACAGTCTGTCTCCTGTAGATTTTGCTCAAAACTCACCTTCCCGAAGGGCGTCTTTAAATTATTACTGCTCCTGTAACTTTAGTTGTCCACATTAATTAATACCTGTTATATAATGTATTACTTCCTAAGGGTTCAACAGATCCAAGAGTTTCCAATATGACAGAAATATGTTAAGGATAAGGACACTGTCATAGTTCTAAAAACGCAAAAACTCTGTGGTGTTAGGTTGGAATTGAGGTTATTTTGTATGAACACAATATGTAAGGTAGATATAGAAATAAATATAAATGAAAAAGTTCCCTAGCTCTGTCCTATGAGAAGGACTGGGACAGCAACACCCCAACAGTGACGAGCATACCTAGCTGCCAAACGCCACCCTCCACTAAAAGAAATCAGGACTCCTTGTTGATAATGGCCAATTACAGGGCTGAGTCAAGGAAAGAACAGGACCAGCCTGGGACACCCTGTTGTGCTTCAGGTGAACAAAAAGTAACCTTACCAGTAAAATAGAATACAATGAAAAGAACACTGAATTGGTGACATTCTGGCTTAAAATACCAACTGGATCTAATCATGCAGAATCACTGGACATATCCAAATTGAGAGACATTCTACAAAATGACTAGCCTGTAACTTTCAAAAATGTGAAGGGCACAGAAGTCTAAGAAAAACTGAGGAGTATCACCAGGCTGAAAGAGATTAGAAGGCTGCAGTGTGTGATCCTGGGGGTGCATCCTTTGCTTTAAAGGCATGGAGTCTCTTGAACTGACTGGTGTAGCTTGGTTGGGTGTCATCCACAGGGTGAAGGATCACCAGTTCAGTTCCCGGTCAGGGCACGTGCCTGGGTTGTGGGTTCAATCCCTGAACAGGGCGTGTATGGGAGGCAAACCATTGATATTGCTGTCCTTCTCTCCTTCCCTTCCCCTCTCTCTAAAAATAAAAAAATAAAATATTTTTTTTTAAAAAAAGGAATGGACTTTCTGGGTAAAGGGATATTGCATTCTTTTTGCCATTTTCCATAAGTTTGAAATTCTTTAAAATATTTTTAAAAGACAAAAATGTTCTTATTAAATATCAGCTCACTAATGACCATGCACATAAATTTCTAATAATCAGACAAATAATTTAATACCATGGGAGCAAAGTTCCTTGGGCCTCAACCAGATCCTTGTATACTCTGAGAGTTTACAAAGCCAGGTCCTCTTTGCCTATTGCTTGAAAAAAGATGCAACTTCTTATCAGGGAACCTGATAGCATCCCTTACACTGAGAGACAAGGTTGCCCCCCCGGGCACCACTGAAATAAAAATGCATTGTTTCATTCTTATAATGAAATGCTCTAAGAATGCGTATTTCCTGTTTCCTGGGGCCTAAGTGACATGAGAGATTTTATCTGAAGTTTGCAGTGTTCCTTGGATCAAGCTACCACAGGCTATATATATACATATAGTCGAGGAACATGAAAATAGAAACTCATAATTTTTTTTTTTCACAGTGGTTTCCTCTAGGAATGTAGCCAGGGGTTGGAGGAAAGGGACTTTCATTTATCTATTTTATTTATTTATATGGACTTGCATTTTTTAACATTTTCTATATCTTGAAAATTGCTTTTACCATAAAGTATGAAACACTCTTGCCCTGGCTGCATAGCTCAGTTGATTAGAACATCATCCCAATATGCTATGGTTGAGAGTTTGATACCTGGTCAGGGCACATACAAGAATCAACCAATGAATGTGTAAGTAAGTGGGAACACAAATCAATGTCTGTTTCTCTCTCTCTCCCCTTCTCCCCCTTCCTCTCTCTCTAAAATCAATAAATTAAAGAAACACTTCTTTGACTTAAAAAATTAGTAAATATATCCATGTCAATATCCTGGTTGTGATACTGTACTATAGTTTTATAAGATATTGCCATAGGAAGAAGCACTTGAAAAGGAACTACAAACCATTAGCATTCCCGAAGGAACACAGATAGGAGGCACATGTGGACTTGTTTTTAGAACCTCTTAAGAAAGCCTCTCTATAAATAGATTCAGCCCTTTGGGAAGGCAATTTGGTAATACATAACAAGAGTCCAAAATTCTCTAATTCCATTTGTGGAATTTATTCTAAGGAAATAATCCCAATTACCAAAAAAACAGTGCACAAAAATTTTCATGCCGTGGCTGGTGTGGTTCAGTGGATTGAGTGCTGGCCTGTGAAGCAAGGGGTTGTCGGTTCAATTCCCAGTCAGGACACAGGCCTGGGTTGCCGGCCAGGTCCCCAGTAGAGGGCGCACGAGAGGCAACCACATATTGTTGTTTCTCTCCTTCTCTTTCTCCCTCCCTTCCCCTCTAAAAAGAAATAAATAAAATCTTTCAAAAAAATTTCATCACAACATTATTTACAACAGTGAGAACCTGGAAACAACATGAAGGAAAATTCAACATAGGATAGGTCAATACAGAGCAAAATGCATGTTGCAATCAGAAAGATCTATGTGAATAAGTTTTTTAGTGGGAAAATGCTTTGTTATGATGTTCAGAATAGAAGGTAAAATAATCGCCTGGCACATGTAATACAATCATAACTAAGTAAAAGTGTGTAGAAAAACTTGAAATGCAGGAAAATGTTTCTAGTGGTTGTCTTTACATGATAGTAGAGTGATTTTTTTCTTTCTACTTTTCATTATCTTCCCAAAAATGTTTAATGTTTATACATTACCTTAATATTGAAAAATGAAACTGCATTTAAAAAGAAAATAAAGTTACTCCCATATTTCAAGGTGTTGTACAATGTTCCAGGTGGTCTGCCCTGGGGTCAGTCATTGCCAGATAGGTCAGAGGTAATTTAGACTCCACAGGACAGCCGCATCCTCCACATACAGAGATCCCTTTGCCTCAAAAGACCTGCTTCTTTGCAGGCACAATGGGACTCTCAGATTCTAACCTCCCATGGCCCAGCAGGTGAGCTAGGTACCAAGCAGTTTCTCTTTATCAGTCTAACCCTCAGAACTTCTACAGGACAGGGCAAAAGTATGTTTACAGTTGTTTGTATGGAAAGTAATTCAATAATAAATAATATAAGAATAAACTCAGTGTTTCATGTACTCACAATTGTAAACCTACTTTTGCTGCACCCTGTATTTACCACAGTCCCAAACTGGAAACAGCATATAGTGTTCTGCCAGGCACTTCGCTGCA